TATTCGCATGGAGTTTGTATGTTCTTCCTGTGCTTGTGTGGTGTTCCTCTGGGTAATTTGGTTTCTTCCCACACTCCAAAGACATGCTGACAAGTTAATTGGCTCCCGACTAAACTCGCCCTAGTATGTGTGTACATGTATGTATGCATGTGAGACAGATGGTATTAGATTGTAAACTCCTTGAAGGCAGGTACTGATGTGACTGTACAGTATATAAAAGTGTTGCATAAACTGTTGGTGCCACATAAATGCTTGTAATAAATAACAGTAAAAAAAAATAATAAAAAAAAGGAGTTAAAAAAAAGCTCAAACATAATAGCTATGGGGAGAACAAGTTAATAAGGACTGATTAGGATAAGAAAGGGTCAATAATGGGTTACATTGGAACACTTTTTTTTAAATGAGCAAGGTTGCTTTAACTGATATACATATCAGTATACATATGCAGATCCATGGCCACCCCTTTGAACTAGAGCAGTTAAAGTAGCAATAACAACAACGCTACATCGTAACTGCAGGGAAGGAAGAGAAGCAGTGCGTATTACACTTGCTCATAATAATTAGATAAAGTCTTTTTGGGGTGTGTGTAGCATACCTAAGCACTGGTTTACACCTAGGCGTATTGCATATGCGCGTCTGTCGCACGTTTTTTTTACCACGAATCGCGAGACAAACGCGCGTTTCCGAGGGCTACTTGGCTGTATCCCAATGGAAACGCGCAACACAAACGGCCCAAAGTAGTACATGTACCTTTTCAGGCGTGGGCCGTTTTGTAGCGCGTTAGGGACGGGCTGAAATACGCCAAGGTGTGAATCAGACCCATTGAATACAATGGGATTTAGATGTTTGAGCGTTTTGTAGAGCGTTCGTCGAGCGTAGAACGCGCTACAAAACGTTCCGGTGTGAACGAGGGCTAAGGTCCACAACTGTTTAAAGGGACTCTGCCATAAGCCAATAAAGCAGGCTGCCATTGCTGAAGTCTCCTTTTGAGAATGCTAGTTCCCAAGCAGTCATGCTAATGCTTTGGCTTTATTGTTTGAGTTGCTGACCCAAAACAGGTAAAGATATCAGGAATGCTGAGACTCGTTTACTTGACATGTTTGTTCCGTGTCTGTGACTCAAAACAACTTATGCAGCCAAACAGGGATAACACCGATTTTATGTTTGTTACATGTTCCTATTTACATTGGGGCGGGTCAAGACAGAGTCGGAGAGGCTCAGAGGCAGTGGATGTGTGCAATAGGCAGCCTGCTATTGCAATTAGAAATAACCAATAGCAGGCTGGCTATTGCAACCGCCCACTGCCTGCTGTTAATCAGCAGAGGAAGACCTAAAGGAGAACTTTCTCCTTTCGGTCTCTCCTCTGCTGATTGACAGCAGGCAGTGGGTATATGGTGAAGAGCAGTGGGGGAGGTGTTTTGTAGTCCTAGTGCACTTTCTGTCCGTGGGTGACAACGCTGCTCCTCCTTCAGAGTGACTGACAGGTGTGTTACTGGTGGCAGGATCACCAGGTGATAATAAAGGAATAATGAAAACTAATTCGGCCTCCACATGCTAAGCTGCATATACACTATATTACCAAAAGTATTGGGACACCTGCCTTTACACGCACATGAACTTTAATGGCATCCCAGTCTTAGTCCGTAGGGTTCAATATTGTGCTGGCCCACCCTTTGCCGCCATAACAACTTCAACTCTTCCGGGAAGGCGTCCACAAGGTTTAGGAGTGTGTCTATGGGAATGTTTGAACATTCTTCCAGAAGTGCATTTGTGAGGTCAGGTACTGATGTTGGGCGAGAAGGCCGGGCTCGCAGTCTCCACTCTAATTCAACCCAAATGTGTTCTTTCGGGTTGAGGTCAGGACTCTGTGACGTCCAGTCAAGTTCCTCCACCCCAAACTCACTCATCCATGTCTTTATAAACCTTGCTTTGTGCACTAGTGCACAGTCATGTTGGAACAGGAAGGGGCCATCCCCAAACTGTTCCCACAAAGTTGGGAGCATGAAATTGTCCAAAATGTCTTGGCATGCTGATGCCTTAAGCATTCCCTTCACTGGAACTAAGGGGCCAAGCCCAACCCCTGAAAAACAACTCCACACCATAATCCCCCCTTCCACAAAACTTTACACTTGGCCCAATGCAGTTAGGCAAGTACCGCTCTTCTGGCAACCACCAAACCCAGACACGTCCATCGGATTGCCAGACAGAGAAGTGTGATTTGTCACTCCAGAAAACATGTCTCCAGTTCTCTAGAGTCCAGTGGTGGCGTGCTTTACCCCACTGCATCCGACACTTTGCATTGCACTTGGTGATGTAAGACTTGGATGCAGCTGCTCGGCCATGGAAACCCATTCCATGAAGCTCTCTACGCACTGTTGTTGTGCTAATCTGAAGGCCACACAAAGTTTGGAGGTCTGTAGCTATTGACTCTGCAGACAGTTGGCGACTTCTGCACACTGTGCGCTTCAGCATGCGCTGACCCCGCTCTGTCATTTTATGCGCCCTACCACTTCGTGGCTGAGTTGCTGTTGTTCCCAGTTGCTTCCACTTTGTTATAATACCGCTAACAGTTGACCGCAGAATATTTAGTAGCAAGGAAATTTCACGGAACACCTGAATCCAATGATTTGGAGGGGTGTCCCAATATCTTTGGTAATGTAGTGTATATTACATTTTTGTTTTTGGGTTTAAATACAGTTTTAAATCGGACACAGCTAGGCAGCTAAAATTGTCAAAAACAGTCCAGCAATGGCAGGCCTGCATGCTGTAAATATATGTTTAAACTAATGCTATTAGACATAAACATCAAGCACCCAGAGCCTAAAACACTGAAAGTTAAATTATGCAAACAGCAACTTCAAATCCTTGCAGTTCTGCTTTGGCCATCTTCCATCCCACTTTCTGTACCTAACTGGACGACTCAGCGAGATACATTGATGTTTGGTATGGGAGTCCGTGGGCCAGAGCTCGACCGCAGGATCCAAAATTGCCATCTGCATAACTGGACATTTTTGAAAGTGCATAAGGCTTCCCTAAATGATATATCAGGCTGAGTGTTTAGTAGCCTGAAACAAAGATTCACTTTAAAGAGGATGGCAACATAACATAACGCCATCACAATTTTCAAGGCTCTAATACTCTCTGTAAAAAAAAAAAAATTCAGCTCAGTTTAGTCTAAAGGTGCCCACACACCTTGTGATAATCGTACGATAATCGAGGGAAATCCCGCGATCGCACGATTATCGTAAGGTGTGTGGAAGCCGTGCGACCTCTACTACTGTAACGTCGCACGACTTTTATCTTACGAACATGTTCGAAAACCCGCCGAGAATCGTACGGTGTGTAGCAGGTTCGTAAGATAAAAGCAGGACGGGCCGGTGTGTGCAAGAGCACACTGCCTGTTCGGCATTGCGGTCATCGGAAATCCGCCCCTCAGCGGGGCGGGCTTGCGATTATCGCAAGTACGATCTGCCTGTCCAAGATAGGCAGATGGTACATTTTTTTAATTACCTTACAACCATCGCAAGACAAAAGTCTTGCGATGGTTGTAAGGTTTGTGCCCAGCCTTACAGCCAAGTATGCAGACTACTGAATTTCATTTACTATACTTGGCCATTGCTTCTGCAACATGGATGTAACATACAGGTCTTCTATTTTCATTTATGTAATGTATGATGTAGCCTAGGGAGAGGGCAGAGACAGCCATTACTATTTATGTCCAGTGTATTTATACAGGGTGCCATTTTCTGCTCCCTGATCCCTTGTTCTGCTCCCTGTCTCCACTGTATTACAGATGTGGCTTTTACTGCACATTTCCATCTTCCTACTAACAGCCAGACAAAGTGCACACTGGTGGACATTTATGAACACAGTTGTATTCTATTTTCAAATGTCGCACCATGCCAACGTGTGCAAATTAGCAGTTCATATCCTACCTTTGGCTACTAAGTGTTTGGGAGTGCCATGCCACTTTCTGTTTGGTGAATGCCTGCAACCAATCTATGAATGCCTGCCTCATTTTCACAGATTCGTCTTACGTGTTATGAACTAGATTCATTTGAAAGCAATAGCCTGCTTTTTAAGGCCTTGTTCACACTGAAAGTGTGTGCGTTCCAGAGCGCTAGCTGCTGGAACGCACCGCGATCGATGTGAAACTTCCCCCCGCGTTTTGGGGCAGGAGGAGGCACGGTGGTGC